CCCCCTTTTCTGATGAAGGGTCTAGGCCCGAAACGTCAGCCTCTCTGCTCCTATGATGCTGCTTGGCCTGCTGTGTTCATCCAGCCCTGCACCTTGTTGTCTCCTTAACAGTGAGTTTTTGTTTGGTTATTGGGCCATGTGTTTCATTTTGAATTAATCAATTTCTTTTTTACATAGAAGTGCTTAATTGCTGCTGATGACAACTATGAACAGGTTGTTGCATTCTACTAATTTTAATAATCATGCAGATCTTGATTTTGTTGCCAGATACAGTGTGGGATATCTTTTTATGCTTGCATCTCCAGGAAATAATACCCTATTTATTTTTCTGAAAGAAAATACGTGCTAGCTATGGATTCGAAGTTTTAACGCAGATTAGCAGGCTAACTTTTTATTCCTAGAAATGTGAAACTGTTGAGATATATCTTTCTCCATCTGAAAATAAGTTAATGATTTTACCACCTATCTACTGAACAGCAGTAGGAAACAAAATATTATTTAATCTGAAATAAATTGGAATGAACCTTAGTCAACTTTAATGTTTTTTTTTCCTCAGTTGTGCTTTCCAGTGATGAAGAAGATACGGATAAAATAGACTCCAGTATCCATGGCACCATGTTAACTCCAGAAATTAAGCGTTTACGTCTGGGAAGTAGGCCATTGTCAACTGAGAGCAATAAAAGAGAGTCTGAGATTGCATCAGCAAAACTGGAACTAGAGAATATCAAGGCATGTATGACACTACACTCTAAGAATTTAAGCGACTGTTTTGCATTAGAGACCTTTAATAGTGAAGTAATGCTGCAGATAACCTGCTTACTAACTTATTAGAATTTAATGAAATATTTATGTTATAATGTATCTCATCATTTGCATTTTAAGGCATTTATTGTAGTGTTCTGATATGATTCTTGATTTGTTCAGTGCATTTTGTGCTTTTGCAAAAACGAGTACAAGTATACCTTGTCGTGTACAGTTCATTACTTCTAAAAGCTGCTGTTCAGTTAAGAAGCTTATAAACACATAAAATGCAAAGTAAATATCTTGTGATTTTATAACCATCTATATATCAGAGGTAAATTCACTGAGGGCTTGTGACTGATATTTTGAGTTTTCGTTAAATGTAAATTTAAAATCCATGATTAAGAATGACTGGCTCTGTCTTCTGATGAATATTTCAATCTCCCCTTAAAGTGATGTTTACCTTCGTTTTTGGGATGACAAATAATTTAACTCTTCCAGCAACTTTGTTTTTGTAAAAGCTCAGCAGGTGTGGCAGCATCTGAGAAGGAGAAAACAGAGTTAAAGTTTCGGGTCTGGTGACCCTTCCTCAGAACTGATGGTGGCTGGGAAAATGTCAGTTTATTTGCAGAAAATAGGGGGAGGTGGGTGGGGTAGGGAGTAAACGATAGGATTGAGCCCAAAGAGAGAGAAGACAGTTGGACAGACAAAGGAGTTGCTAACGATCAGGCTAGGAGGGTGAATAGTTGTTAATGAGGACTGTTAGTGACTAACAACAGGGGGTGTGTAATGGCAGGCTATGTGATAACAAGGCCTGGTGTGTGGGATGGGGGGCTGGGACATGGCAGAGTTTAGACCTTAAAATTATTGAACTCAATATTGAGTCCGGAGGGCTGTAGGTTACCTAAGCGGAAAATGAGGTGTTGTTCCTCCAGCTTGCGTTTGCGTTGGGCTTCACTGGAACACTGCAGCAAGCCAGTGACAGAGATGTTGGCCAGGGAGCAGGGTGGTGCATTGAAGTGGCAGGCAACAGGTAGTTCAGGGTCTTTTTTGCGAGCAGAATGTAGGTGTTCTGTGAAGCGGTCGCCAAGTCTACGCTTCATTTCCCCAATGTAGAGGACACCACGTTGTGAGCAGCGAATGCAGTAGACTAAATTGTGGGAAGTGCAGGTGAAGTGTTGCTTTGCCTGGAAGGTATGTTTGGGCCCTTGGATGCTGGGGAGGGAGGAGGTAAATGGGGCAGGTGTTGCACCTTCCCCGGTTACAGGGGAAGCTACCGTAGGGCTGTGGGGAGGTGTCGGGGGTGAAGGAAGTGTGGACCAGGGTGTCCCAGAGGGAACAGTCTCTGCGGAAGGCGGACAAGGGAGGGGACGGGAATGTGGTGGTGGAATCTTGCTGGAGGTGCAGAAATGGCATGTGATGATCTTCTGGATGTGGATGCTGGTGGGATGGTAAGTGAGGATAAGGGGAGCCCTGTCTCTGTGGGAGGGAAGAGAAGGGGTGAGGGCGGAAGTGTGGGAGATGGATCGGACCTGGTTGAGGGCCCTGTCGACAACGGAGCTGGGGAATCCTCGCTTGAGGAAGAAGGTGGACATTTCGGAGGCTCCCTTGTCGAAGTTGGCCTCATCTGAACATTTGCGATGGAAACGGAGGAACTGAGAGAATGGGATGGAGTCTTTACAGGAAGTGGGGTGTGAGGATGTATAGTCCAGGTAGCTGTGGGAGTCAGTGGGTTTGTAATGGATATTAGTGGCCAGTCTATCCCCAGAAATGGAAACGGGAATGTTGAGGAAGGGAAGGGAGGAGTCAGAGATAGACCAGATGAAAGTGAGGGCAGGGTGGAAATTGGAGGCGAAATGGATGAAGTTTTCCAATTCCAGACGGGAGAGGGAAGCAGCACCTTTGATATCATCGATGTATCGGAGAAAGAGTTGTGGATGGGGGCCGGAATAGGGCTGGATCAAGGAATATTCCACGTACCCTACAAAGAGACAGGCATAACTAGGGCCCATGCGGGTACCCATGGCAACCCCTCTTACCTGAAGAAAATGAGAGAAGTTGAAAGAGAAGTTGTGGAGGGTGAGGACAAGCTCGGCCAAGCGGAGGAGGGTGGTGGTTGGTGGGGATGGTTCAGGTCTTTGCTCCAGGAAGAAGCAGAGAGCCCTAAGACCCTCCTGGTGGGGAATGGACGTGTAAAGGGATTGCACATCCATGGTAAAGAGGAGGTGGCTGGAGTCGGTAAACTGGAAGTTTTGAAACCGACCTAAGGCGTCTGATGAATCATGGATGTATGTGGGTAGGGATTGGACCATAGGGGAGAAGACTGAGTCAAGGTTTGACTGTTACTTTGGTAAAATGCTTTTGTTTTTGTTCCAGCTATCATGCAACTGATCAGCAATTGTTCTGACCGTAAATTGCAATTGTGATAGTCTGTATATTGGCTGTAACAGGCAGGAGCTTTGAGCACCCACTGGCACGACAGCTTTTATTGGTGCATCATTGGTGTTAGCAAAGTTGACACTTGAGACCATTGATTCTCTGTTCATCTCAAACACAGCCAGTGAAAATTAACATCCTATTTAGTAAATAAAAATGTTGAATGATTGCACAACAAATTTAACAAAAAATGAAACGAAAGGAAAACTCGTATTTCATTAATGTTGTTTACCTGTTGTATTCAGGGTGCATATGAAGTAACTGAGAAGAATAAATTAATAGATGTGATCCAAAGTATGGACTGCTGTTTGGAAAATAATTTTACAATAACTGAAACAACAATGGATCTAGCATTTGCTGCCCTGCATATGGGGGAAATTGATGGCAATGAACAAGGTTCTGTAAAGGTATGTTATCTTTATAAACATCATTTTAAGTTTTCATGACCAAATTTGAAAGGGAGGGCGAAATAGGCGTATTGTCCATTGCATTTCATGTAACAAAATATACACTGAAAGTATACTTTGATACTGATGTTGTACTTTGTACTGCCACTGGAGGCCTACAGTGAGAAACTTTATTGGAGCTTACCCTGATCATGCAGTACATCAGAGCACAGTTTACTTATTAACATGTTAGTACTTGCAGTCAGAAAGAGATTTTTAACTTGTAGGTTTTAAGCCCCTTCATCAAATCGCCTTAATCATATTGCTGTTCTTCCCAATAGCTCCCAGGCAGCCTATATGTACAGCACTATAGAAGAATGAAATCAGAGTTGTATCAGTGCTGGTCATACTGGAGAAACAAAAATACAAAAGCACAAATCTGAATTAAAATAATCTGCTAACACCATTTTGTACTAAACTTTCATTTAAAGCGATTGGACTTTGTTTGCAGTGGGTACCATCTGCACAATACAATGCAGTAACTACCAATGTTCCTTCAAAACTGCCTCAACCCAGACTTGATCAACTAGGGCAATGGCAGCAAGTTCACCTGAGCACTACTGCTCCAAAGTCTCGCACCATCCTAACATAGAAATATAATGTCTTCCTTTGTTATTGCTGAGTCAAAATCCTGGAGCTTCCTACTTATCAGCACTGTTAATTGCCTTAGCCACATGGATTGCAGTGGCTTAAGTAGCTTGCTCTCAACCTTGTGCTTGAGGTGATTTTGGGATGCAACAATGCCAACGATACGCACACTCCATGAATGTATTTAAAAGAAAATCAATTTTCTACTTTGAGGATGGAAACAAAATCCCAGTATTAACAAAATGGTGGATTGGTTTTGGTTAAGCAAGAGAGTGATGGCAGCTGTTCTGAAATCCTGGGCCTTAATGGATTAGAGTTATTACCATTAAGAGAGGAGACTGTGTGTTTGTGGTGAGGGGTTTTGATTTTTTTTTGGCATTTAGAAAGATCCTAGAGTAAGATCAAAAAAAAGATCAGGGGCGAAAATGCTTTTGGATGTAAACAGGAACTAGAATGATTGCGTCACTTTGTGAGCTATTTGAGCTTGCATAACTTCCAGATTTTCCACCATGAAAGTCTACACTTCATGTATCTTTTTGTTCCATCTAATCACATCTTTGAATGTGTAGCTGTCTCTCAATTCTTTTCTTTTTTTTTCTTCCGTCTTGCTTTGTGCTCAGATCTAGCATTGAACTTGGTTTATATCAGCACTCCCCTATGTGTATCACCTTACGTAATGCACCATGACGGTTTATCCTTGCTCATCTTCCTCCGTTTCTCTGCAGTGATCATTCCGTCTTCTTCAGTGCCTCTTGTCTGTGGAATTGCTCTTGAATGGTTTCATTCTGCTTGTCTCAGGACTGCCTTTGTCTTCAGCATCCATGCGTTTACCTCCACATTTCCAAAGGCCTATCCATTGGCTCCATCAAATGTAATGCTGTCTCTTTCCTCTATAGTTCTAATCTGCATTGACTTCCAGACCCTTAATGGATCAAACTTAAAATCCTTATCTTCGTCTACAAGTCCCTCCAAAACCTCCAACCATTTTACTTCTGCAACCTGGAGATGTGTGAGGCAAGTTTTTTTTTTTTTTACACAGAGGGTGGTAGGTGCTTGGAACATGCTGCCAGGGTAGGTGGTAGAAGCATACAGTAGCAAAGTTTATGACTCGTTTAGACAGACACATGAACGGGAAGGGAACAGAGGGATAAGGACCATGTGCAGGCACGTGGGATTAGTTTAACATAGTATCATGGTTGGCACAGACATGGTGAGCTGAAAGGCCTGTTCCTGTGTTGCACTGTTCTATGTTGTTCAGTATTTTAATTTGTAGACCAGTTAATCTGTAAATTTGTGTTCTTTTCCCTATCAGCAGTTAATTGAATATTGGATAAAGCTGAAATTTAAGTTATGACAAGACTCTCATTGCTTTCTTATTATCATTTGTGATAGGCAGGGGTTTTGATTTGCATGGGACATGGAAGGGAGCTGTGAAATATGAACTCCCAAATTCTGGCTGGACCCAGTAGAAATGACTTTATCTTATTTGCTGTAAAGTAGTAACCTTTGGCAAAGCACAGATTTTTTTTTTGAGGGATTGCATAGCTTTCCGTATTATTGTTGATTTGAGAGTTTTTTAGATTGGTTTGAATGTACAGGTGGTCCTCAATTTATGAAGGTTTGTAGGTACAAAAGAGATCCTACCTTCACAATATCAATTTTAAACATCCACCATGCAAACGTTTTCTCAGACTTAGGAACGTCTGTTTTATATTGTACTGTGTATACAAATTAACTTACAAATGTACTCAAAAATGGAACTCATTCGTTACCCTGTACATCTGTAATTAAATGGAGTCTAATCCAGCCAGAACTCATTTTATGACAGTATGAGCATATTTGAAATGTCTTTTTCAAGTTTCTTTAATGGTTTTTGCTTTGTTTTTCTCACAGTTTAGTCATGACAACATTGCAATATCCTTTTCAGGTAAATAATTTATATTAAATGTGGTTGCAGAATGAATTAGAAATGAATAAGCTTTTTATTGTTAACAAGGGAGAATGGATTTTACACTCTAGGTGATCTCATAATAAAATGGATAGTGGTGTAGTGAAATATTTAAATAGCAACGCATTTAATTCATTGTTGCTTGCTGCAGTATTCCAGCGAAGCTCAGTGCAATCTGGTGGAACAATACCTCATCTTCTGCTTGGGGACCTTGTAGCCCTCCGGACTCAATATTGAGTTCAATAATTTTAGAGGCTGCACTCTCCCATATCCTACCCCCCAACCCCAAACACCAAACACCAGGCCTTGTTATGGGTAAATTCTAAATGAATTATTTTTAAACATGCTATTTTCAAATAATTGTAATTTTATAATCATTCATAATGATAAATGGGTTTATTAAACAGAGGTGCATATTCTGAAGAAGGGTCTAGGCCCGAAACGTCAGCCTTTTTGCTCCTATGATGCTGCTTGGCCTGCTGTGTTCATCCAGCTCTGCACCTTGTTGTCTCAGATTCTCCAGCATCTGCAGTTCCTACTATCTCTTGTTATGATATAGTCTACCATTACACACTACCTTTTTGTTAGCCACTAACAGTCTCCATTAACAGCCATTCACCCTCCCAGCCAGATTGTTATCCACTCCTTTGTCTGTCCAACTGTCTTTCCCTCTCTTTGGGCTGTCCCCACCTATCATTTACTTCTTACCTCCCCCCACCAACCCACCCTATCTTCTGCATATAAACCAACATTTTCCTAGCTACCATCAGTTCTGAGGAAGGGTCACTGGACTCAAAATTTTAATTCTTTTCTCTTCACAGATGTTGCTAGACCTGCTGAGCTTTTCCAGCAATCTCTATTTTTGTTTTTAATTTATTATTGTTAGATTTAAGACTGTCCTATGTTTGAAAGTCTTTTTTTTTCAAAAAAAATCTTAATGAATGCCTATTTTGTGCATTGAACAATAGAACAATTCTAGACAATAGAAATGGGTGTGTTCTAAATGAATTATTTTTAAACATGCTATTTTCAAATAATTGTAATTTTATAATCATATATAATGATAAATGGGTTTATTAAACAGAGGTGCAAAATCCACTGTCAGTAAATTCTAACCGAATTTTGTGTTTATACCTAACCTGTTTTTTAATCTTTATAGAACTGGATTTGCCCTTTGATGTATTTCAGTATTATTTTTTTCCTCCAGGGAATGGTTGAGCCATAAAAACCATGAAACTGCCAGGGTTAATCCATGACAAAAGCAGAAATTGCTGGAGAATCTCAGCAGGTCAGGCAGCATCTGTTGGAGACCAAGCAGAGCTAACGTTTCTGATCTGGTGGCCCTTCTTCAGGTTCAAAAGAAGAGTCACTGGACCTGAAACTTTAACTCTGTTTTGTCTCCACAGATGCTGCCAGACTTGCTGAGTTTCACCAGCAATTTCTGCTTTAGTTTCTGATTTCCGGCATCCGCAGTTTTTTTTTTTTGTTTTATTGTTTAGGGTTCATCCATGGTCTGTTAACTTGCTGATGTCTGCTAGAGTGGTTGTGCATTTAACCTCAGTGCTCAAGTTAGGAAGGGGAATCCAGTTAGGACTGATTATAGTTCAGGAGATAGGATACTGGGGCAAGAAGACATTCTTTTGTTAGGCTGAGTGAATTGAGGCTGTACTCTCTGGACTTTAGAAAAATGAGAGGTTCTTTCACTGAAACATAGATAATGAAGGGCTTCATAGGGTAGACGCTAAATATGTCTGGGAATCTGAAACATAGGTTACAATCTCATGATAGCCCATCATTTAAAACGGAGAGGGGAAATATTTTCACTCAAAGGCCTGTTAAATCTTTGGAATTCATTATCCCAGAAGATTGTGGGTGCTTTATCATTGTTTATCAAAGCTTTGAATATACACAGACTTTTAGCTGGGAAACAAAAGCAGAAATTGCTGGAGAACCTTGTCAGATCTAGTAGCATCTGTGGAGAGAAAGCACAGTCATTGTTTTGGGTCCGGTGATCATCTTCAGAGGGGGTAATCTGGGAATATGGGGCGTAGATGGATTAAAGGTGTAAAGCCCTGCCCAGAACTAAGTGAGAAGCTGCCTGGCCCAAGGGAGTGTGCTTACAGTCAGCTTTCCACTTGGTCTTGGGGTTGCAACAGCCTCAGCACAAAATTTTGGCAATTATTATTCTAGTCTTTTTTTTCAAAAGTAGTTGGCTAACTTTAGGAGTGTCAGTCCTCTATTTTCAGTGCACTTGAATAATGATTATTAGTAAGTTACTTTATCTCAAAATATGGAATTTGTCTTTGAATTTAAACAGGTCCTTGTGATATAAACCATTCATTACTACTGGATACCTTTCACTTAAAGAAGTACAGTCTGTTTGACACAGTCTGTGAGAATCACTCCGTTATTTTCTTATGGTTTGCTGCAGATTATATCGATGAAGTAAACAAACTGTTACAAACCAGTTCTTCAAAACATAATTGTAAGTGTGTATTTGTTCTCCTTCTGGCTCTGTTTTTTACATTTTTTTTAAACAATGTATTTTTTTCCATTTTGGGTGTACAAATTTTACTTTAAGACACATCTCTGCTTTAAATAAGTATCTGGCAAAGCCATCAGAAGTTGTGCTGTGGAATTGAATTGGTTTCCCATTATATCAGCAAAGCAGGTAGAAAATCCATTTGTCTGTTAACACACAGATCTTTCCTAAGACCAGGGAGCTAGAATGTCTTAAGCCTGTTTATTTTTGGGCAGGAGGTGAGTTTAGAACTCAACAACAGATTTGCCCAAAGTTAATATCAGGACCTTGGTTCTAAATTTGATTTCCATAAAACGGGGGAAAGATTTTTTTTTTTTTCAAAACTGCAGCAGTTCCTATATCCTGAGGTGTAGTCAAGATCCTTTGTACGCGATCCACATTTTCAAAGCAGCAAGCTAAATGGAAAACTTACTTTGTTTTTGTTCATTCCTGTACTTCATTACAGCTGTTTCTCTTTGCAGATAATTGCAATGAATTTATCTTCATTCAACTTTTCAAACCTTTGCAAGCAACAGAAACAGCAACTTTGAAGAAAATCATGATTGATATAGGTGAAAAGAATGAGGTTACAGACTTGTGTGATATCATGCCATTGGATGAAATTTATCAGCTACTGGCTAGGTTTAGTTCAGAGCAGAGCTCCTTCCTGTCATTGTGCTGCAAAACCTTACAAGAACAAGTGGATATGACTACGTTGTCACTGGAGTCCCATTTATCTCAGGTGACTTAGTTGATTAAGACAGATCCACAGCAACTATTGCATTTATGGAAAAAATGAGGATCCTCTGAAATACTTGGGACTATTTCAACTCATTTGAGGCTATAAGAAGCTAATAAACCCACTTGGAATTTTCCAGGTTTGGGAGGAAACAATTAATCAATCGTGTTGCCTTCCTGATAACTATCCTGGTCTTCCCACCATAGACAGCTATCTGAGACCCTTAATTGACAACTAAGAGCCCACTTGAGGATTTCATTCCCCACACTGCAAGTATGCTGTCAGCATTGGGTAACCCATGCCACATGGAGCAGCCTACCTGTGGGTATGGAAAACTGAGGGCCCTGCCAGAGGTGAGGAGTTACCCCTGAAAAAGCCCAACCTCAAAATGCCATATAGAAGTCCCCATGCTTACTGGCGTCTGTCTGACTCTTGTAAACTCACACACTGACCATTACCTTCTGCACTGTTCTTGGTCTGGGACTTACAGTTAATTGAGCAGTGGCAACCATCCAGGTAGTACTGCTGGCACCGAGGAGCTCCTGACTTCTTAGATTTTTACCTTCAATGTATTGGAAACCTTGACGACAGGCAGTAAACTGTCTGTTAAGCATTTTATTTTGGCTGGGCTCCAAAAATGACCTTAGCTATGTTGTCACCAGCTTTCTAACTGGTTTAATTTAATTCTGCATTTGTATGCTCTCGATTTAACTGGGAATATTTAATATGAATCAGGATTTTCATTTTTAAAAATCTGAAGGTCAGTAATGTAACTTTTCACAGATTTGTCTCAAATACTGATGAATAAAATGTAATGCAATCGATTGCAAGTACATTTGAAATGTACTTACTAACTTTAAAATATTCAAACATTGAATTTGCGTAATTTTTGTGCCTTTTTTACCATCCAGGCCTGAATATAGTAATTGTACTGAAGTAAAGTTGAAATCGCCATTTATGGCTTTACAAGAAACAGCAATGCAATCAGCTTCGGTTCCCGTTAAAAGGAATTTGTTGTCATATTAGAAATGTACAATGAAAAGCAGTGTGATAAATCAGTGATCTTGGCAAAGAACCTGTAATGCAGAATCTTCTTGAACAATAACCTTCCGATTTGCATTTGTCTTGTTCTGCATTCACCTTTGTGTAGGAAGAAAATACAAGCTCAGTGAAGTCAAATAATTACACCCTGTGTCATATACGAAGGAATGACCAGTATATGGTTTCAATTGCTTCAAAGCAAGAGAAGGAAAAGCACACATTTAAACAAAGTGGTCCAGTTCAGAAGTAAGCTTGTTTGTTATTCATGTGTATTAGTGAATGTGTTTGCATAATTATGTAAGTCAATTATGAGTGTACACTAAACTAACACAGTTTAAAGAGTATATATTATTTTTGCTGACAATATGAGCACCATTAGCCAAGGCTATTATTTGTGCCGCAGCCCTAATTTTCCTTGAAGATCAGCTTTGACTAACTTGTGTATCTGATCAAATGTGTGCGCTTGCTGGCTTAGAAGGAGCCAGCTTTAACTGTTTGGCACATCGTGATGAATCTAATGCATCCATCTTGACTGGTCTGGACTCCATAGTTATTCTATGATTTTTAGAGTCTACAAAATAGATATTAATTTACATAGAGATAGTAGGAACTGCCGATGCTGGCGAATCTGAGATAACAAGATGTAGAGCTGGATGAACACTGCAGGCCAAGCAGCATCAGAGGAGCAGGAAAGCTGACGTTTCGGGTCTGGACCCTTCTTAATGTCAGCTTTCCTGCTCCTCTGATGCTGCTTAGCCTGCTGTGTTCATCCAGCTTTACACCTTGTTATCTCTATTAATTTACATTTTGTGTTTAATGATTTTGGCATATCTTTAGTTCATTCTAGGGAAATTGATTACTACCGTGTCGTGGGGTGATCTTGTTTAAACATAAAATATTTTTAAGGGGACTTGAAAGGATAGATAGAAAGAAAATACTTCCAGTAGTGCAGGAATCTCAAACTAGGGGATATTGTTCCAGAATAAGACGCACTCATGTAGAATTGAGATGCGAAGGAATCTCTTCTCCCGGAGAGTAGTGAATGCCTAGAATTCTCTACCCCAATGTGTCATGGAGGCCAGATGACTGCATGCATTTAACGGAGGTAGATTTTAGAAATATCACAGATGATAGCTAGACTCAGCTGATACAAAAGAGGAATTGAGGCCTGGGGCAGATCAGCCATGAACTTGTTGAATGGTGAAACCGATTTGAGGGGCTTAATGGCCTATCCTGCCCCTATTTCTTGCATTTTTATATGTTCTAGAAAATATATAGGGTTATCTATAGGCTAGACATGTCTAATAGTGCTGTCAGTGTTCTAATTTGACTTGAAATTTCATCTTTGCTATCATTTTTGTTTGTCATGTTAACTCTGACCTCAATTTAATTGAACATTTTAATGCAAAGTTCAGTGGGGGGGACACATGATTTTTTTTTTTAAGGTACTATATATATTGCAACATATTGTACATATAGTTTTGGTGATCCAAACAGCGCACAACAACAATACATTTCTATTGTACCGTAAAATTGGAAGCCATTTTCCATGGGAGATCTTAATGGAAAAACTTATTATTTTGATTGTACTCTACCTCCCTGTTTCTAAAGAATCTTGATTTAATATCAATTGGTAATCAAATCTTATTCTACTTGATACAAGTTATTTTGAGTCACATTCTTTCTTTTTACGTCTCATTTTGCCACTGTTACGTTACCAAGCATTTCTGTTGGTGCAGGATTTGGTTTCAAGTGAATATCAATTGTTAAATTCTACATATCTTGCAAAGTCTGACTCCAATGAGATGTATTCCTGAATGATTTAATTTTTTAAATAGTATGTTTTGAATATTTTTTGGATAAGTTGTAGGCAATTTTAATGCTCACAGTATAGGGGCATTTGTACAAGGTTGAAATTTCTGTATAACTGACCTGGCCTGAGTATTTTCTGTTGTACGGGGCCAATAACTTATTACCTTTTTTGGCTGTGCTCTGAGGCCTTGGGAAATGTGCGTTTATAACCTCACCTGTGTTCTTTTAATCTTGTGGGTAACCCCAGCTACAAACCCAGTATTGCCTAATGGTAGAGAAGATGGTAAAGCAGTGGGGTGGGTTAACTAATGGGCCTAGTTTTGGAAGTACCCGAGAGTGCAACGAGAAGATGATAAATGGTGAAAAAGGAGTGAGGGAAGGCTTGAATATTGACAGTGAACAAAGAATGGTCTACTTCCAGTGGACAAGAAAGGTTAAATTGTGTGTATGTACTGTATCGAGTATAGTGAACAAAATTTGGAAATTGGAAGCAGAAATTACTCCAAAGAGATATGACATTGTAACACTGACAGAACAGGACTGGATACTTAACAGAGATAGTAGGAACTGCAGATGCTGGAGAATCAGAGATAACAAGTTGTAGAGCTGGATGAACACAGCAGGCCAAGCAGCGTCAGAAGAGCAGGAAGGCTGACGTTTCGGGCCTAGAGTCTAGGCTTCCTGCTCTTCTGACCCTGCTTGGCCTGCTGTGTTCATCCAGCTCTACACCTTGTTATCTTGGATACTTAACATTCTGGGTTATAAGGCTTTTAGTAGAAATGGGCAGGGTAATAAGGGAGGAGGTGTAGCAGTCTTTGTCAAAGATAGTATTGTTGCCCTTGAACAAGATGCAGTTCTTGAATTCCAATCTATACGGTTGGAGGTGAGAAACAAGAAGAGAACAGTGACCTTGTTGGATATTTAATATAGACCTTCAAATAGTGGGGAGGAATTAGAGAGCATTTGTAGGCAATGGTGGAAATCCGAGGAGAAACAGGATTGAGAGTTGGTGATTTCAATTACCTTAGGGTAGACTGGAAAATGTAGAGTGTGGGGCGCAGAAGGTGAGGAATTCCTGCAATGTATGCAGGAGAATTTTTTGAAACAGTACATTTCCCGTCCTGTCAGAGAGGGCGCCATGCGGAGAATGTCAGAGTCGGGCAGCATTTGCGAAATAACGATCATAGTATAATTCTCAATAATATCAGTAAAGGACTAAGATTTCAGACTGGAAAAGGATGCGTATTAGAGGTCTGAAAGTTAAACTGGAGCAGATTGATTGGAAATGCATTTTGTGGATAAAACCATGAACAAAAATGGGAGAATTTCAAGTGGATTAACAAGGATGCAAGCTAGTTACATACCCATGAGAAATGAATACAGGGTATCCAAAGCTAGAGCACCCTAAATAACTAAGGATATTGATGAGAAAATAAGAAAGAGGTAGGAGACAGCATGGAATCAGACCCTTCGGTTCAACTCATCTGTGTTGACCAGATATTCCTAAATTGATCTAGTCCCTTTTGCCAGTATTTGGCCCTCTCAACCCCTTGTATTCAGAGACCCATCCAGATGCCTTTTAAATGTAGTAATTGTACACACCTCCATCCCTTCCTCTGGCAGGTTGTTCCATACACTCATCATTCTCTGCTAGAAAATGTTGCCCCTCAGGTCTGTTTTAAATCAATGCCTTCTAGTTTTAGACTCCTCTATCCTGGGGGGAGAAAAGACTTTGGCTATTCACCCTATCCACATCCCTCATGATTTTATAAACCTTTTATATGATTACCCCTCAGCCTCTGATGCTCAAGGGAGAAAAGCCCCAGCCTGTTCAATCTCTCCATGTAGCTCAGATCCTCCAATCGTGGCAACATCCTTATAAATCTTTTCTGCACTCTCTCAAGTTTCACAATGTCTTTCCTATAGCGGGGAGACCAGAATTGAATGCAGTATTCCAAAAGTGGCCTAACCAATGTCCTGTCCAACTGTAATAGGATGTTCCAACTCCTATACTCAATGCACTGACAAAATGCCTGCTTCATCACAGTGTCTAAATGCGACTCCATTTTCAAAGAACTGTGCACCTGAACCCCTAGGCCTCTTTGTTCAGCAACATTGCCCAGGGCCCTACCGTTAACTGTGTAAGCCCTGCCCTGGTTTGCCTTACCAAAATGTAACACCTTACATTTATCTAAATTAAACTCCATCTTCCACTCCTTGACCCATTGCCCCATCTGATCAAGGTTCTGTTTTATTCTGAGATAAACTTCTTCACACTCCACTACACCACCAGTTTTGGTGTCATCTGCAAACTTACTAACCAACCTCCTATATTCACATCCAAATCATTTTATATCAGTGATGGAAAGCAGTGGACTCCGCACTGTTCCTTGCGGTGACATTTAAACATTGTTGTAAAGTTACTTAGAGGAACAAAATGGCTTAGTTTTCAACAGTTTTAATTCTTGGTACTAATCATAAGGAGCTGTAGAACTCAATGACACTCTGTGGTGCATACCAGAAGAATAATACCAATAGAAATCAGGAAGAGTATCTCAAATGCAGGAGAGAGGCGAAGGCTAGAATAAGGAAGGCTAAGAACAACCACAAGTAAAGGATGGTAGGCTGTGCTAAAACAAATAGTGAAATGTTCTTTACACAGCTTAATAATAATAGATTAGTGAAGGATAGTGTGGTGCCAATAAGGAGCAAGCAGGGTAAGCTGCTCACTGAAGTGCAGAGATACTAAATAAATACTTTGCTTCTGTCTTTACCAAATTAGAAAATGGTGACAATGTTATTGAAAATGTGGCTATTGAGCAACTAAGCAGTATAGTGATAAAGAAGAGCTGCTAAAAAGGCTGACAGCATTCCAGGTAGAGAAGTTACCAGGCCCGGATGGGAAGCATCCTAGATTGCTGCTTGAGAGAGGTAAAGGAGCAAATGGCAGAGCCATTGACAGAAAATTTTTAGGCTTCGCTGTATGTTGTATTAGTCATGGGGAATGGAAAATTGCAAATGTGATAAACTGTTGTTTAAGAAAGGGGCCAAATATAACCCAGAAACTATGGACCTGTCAGTTGATGTCAATAGTTGGAAAACTGATGGAGGCCATAATACAGGTTAAGGTAAAAATACACCTAGAAAAATACAAGTTAATACTAGAAAATAAACATGGCTTTGTTGAGGGTAGGTCATATCTGACAAATTTGATTTCTTCGAGGAGGTGACACAGGCAGTGAATGAGAGTGGTGCTGCCAATTTTGTATTTATGGACTTTCAAAAAGCGTTTGATACAGTGCCACATGGCAGGTTGGTTAGAAAATTAAAGTGTTTGGGATTGATGGATCCTTAGTAGCATGAATTAGATGTTGCCTAAAAGGAGGGAATCAGAGGGTTAGGTATAGATGGGCATTTCTGACTGGAGACAAGTTGAAAGTGGTACTCCCAAGGGATCGGTGTTGGGGTCCTTGTCTTTTCTTATTTATATAAAGGATTTGGAAATGGACATTGAGGACAAAGTCTCTAAACTTGCTGGTGATACTGAACTAGGGAGAATGGTGAATTGTGAGGCTGATACTAAGCGATTTCAAGTTGGCCAAATGGATAGATGCCTGACAGGTGAATTTCAGTGCATGAGAAATGAGGTAGTACATTTAATTAGAAGAAACATCGATAATATAGGGGCAATGATACAACTTTGAGGAGAGTACAGGAGCAGAGGGACCTCCGGGTTGGTGTGCATAGTTCTCTGAAGGTGGCCAGGCACGTTGGAACAGTTGTTAAGAAGGCCTCTAGGATATTTGGGTTTGTAAATAGAGGCCTAGGGTATAAAAGCAAGGAAGTGATGCTACACCTCTACAAATAATTGGTCAATCACATTTGGAGTATTGTGTTCGGTTCTGGGTACGTTATTTAAGGAAAAATGACAAAACCTTGGAGAGAGTCCAAAGGAGATTTACTAGAATGATACCAGGATTGAGGGATTTTAGATACAAAGAAAGATTAGAGAAATTGGTCTTATTCTCCTCAGAGCAGAGAAGATTAAGGGGCAACGTAACTGAAGTGTTCAAATTATTCATAATTTTAACAGGGCAAAGAAGGATATTCTGCTTCCATTAGCACTTCACTAAATGTAATCTACTGTATTCGCTGCTCACAATGTGGTCTGTAATACACTTGGGAGATGAAACACAGAGCAGCCGCTTTGCTGGACACCTACGTTCTGTCTGCAAAAATGACCCTGAGCTTCCTGTCTCCTCAACACACCACCTTGTTCCCTGGCCAACAGCTCTGTCTTGGGCTTGCGGCAGTATTGCAGCAATCCCACACACCACGCCTTGTCATTACGTGACCTGCTATCACAACCAACCTATTGTTATCTACTGATGGTCCCCATTAGCAGCTGTTGATTCTTTCAGGCTGTCATTCCTTTGTCTGTCCAATTACTGCTCTCACTTTTGTCTCACACATTCACACCCTCTCGCGCAATCTCTCTCTCTCGCGCAGTCACACACAACCATCTACAGCATATGTACCAACCTTGCGTAGCTACAGTCAGTTCTGAAGAAGGATCGTTGGACTCAAAACATTAACTCAGTAGGTCTGGCAGCATCTGTAGAGAGAAAGCAGAGTTTTTCCAGCAACTTCTGTTTTTGTTTTTGTTTTTGTTCTTGTTTCCATTTCCACTTGTATCACAATTTCAAGATTGTCAGCAATTGAGCTACAGGTAAATGGGGAGAACTTTCATTTCTCAATGTTGGTAGAATTTGGAATGGCTGGGAGAGTGGTGGAAGTGGATTCCGTTGGAGGTTTCAAAAGAGACCTGTATATGTATTTGAAAGTGATGAATTTCAAGGGCTACAGAGAAAGGTCTGGAGAATGGGACTAGTTGGGTAGTTCTTTTGGCAGCTGGTGCAGGCACAGTAGTTTGACTGGCCTTCTGTACTGTAAAGTTCTGTGATTTGAATAAGTTGGGAATGTAGATTTGAGCTTGACCATTGGGGTGTAGATCTGATTGTATTTGTTCAATACAACTAAATTTAATGTTATCTGATTTACTAATAATAGGCAAAATATATAATGCATGAAATCCCTAGCTTTATCTGGTGTATAAATTGTAAATACCTAGAGGCTCAGATAAAAATGCATAAATGAATAAATTAAAATTAATATCATTTGTTAAATGTATTCCATACTCGTAAGATTGCTGCCATGTTATTTATTCCTATATGTGACAAATGAACATTGGTATTACATATTTAAAATGATTTTATTCTGATTATCGATTTTAGTTTTATTAAAAAGAGGCAGTAATTTTAATGTGTTTCTTTCTCTCACAGAATAATAGTATTCCCCCCTCCTCCAACTAAAGGAGGTCTTGCTGTGACTACTGAAGACCTAGAATGTTTGGAGGAAGGAGAGTTTCTCAATGATGTTATCATTGATTTCTATTTAAAGTAAGTTTTTAGGCATTTTTTTGTTGCAGCCTTGTAATATTTTACTGCAAGAATGCTGGAGGTGAAACAGCCACTGTTAAATGTGAGAAGAAAGATTCCGCAATCATAACAATTGTTCTTGTTTGGATGTTCGCAAAGGGTGTTAACAACATATTCCGAAATTGTTCCAAATATGATCCTGAATGCCCCTTTTCTGTGTTAAAATCTGTTTCCAGTGCACTTTTCCTCTTTGGAAGGAATTTTAGGTTTTCAAGATTGTGATTTTAAGATTTGACAGAGTTAAATTGACTGCTGTCCATGGCAGTTCCAAATGTCAGGAGTTGCAAGTTAAAAATGAGTAAGAAAGAAGTCACATAGCACATCTTCATTCAAAGATTAGTTTGTTTATGAAGTAAGTTACCAGATACGATTTTGTGGAGACTATTATAAATTGACTCAAGCGCACAAATACATGACTGAGAAAATATGTTATGAAAGTCAAGAGAGAATATTGATTTAAAAACCTGACTGAACACGGTTGGTGCAAAGCCTGACTGGTTGTCTGTATCTTTGTTTCTTTTTACCACCTTGTTCACAGCCAACAGAATTTTGCAAGTTCAATGAATGTAGAGCTCATCAGTTGTAGAGGCAGGCTAATAAATTTCTTATTGCCCTGGATTTTGCTGTTAGTGAAGATAGACTGTCTGCCATTGATCAAGAATAAAGGTAGCCACAAAAGTCTAGCGAGTTCTGTGGCATGGGTTTCACCACTTGTAAATAAAGTTCATTCTGGCATCTAACAACAGTGATATAATCAAGCAGACTAAATAGCTAATAGTGGTAAAGAATTCTCACAACGCAAACTGCAAATTAACAAACTGCTTTTGCCTAATACATTTTATAATTTTCAATGAACAAAAAGTAAAAATTGAGATTAACATGGAAGTTAAAATATCTTAAATTTGAAGTTTATTTTTAAAATATGGATTTTTGTTTGTTTGTCATAATGAGACAGTTTATGTTGCACAAATACACACATTTTGCAGGCAAAGAGGTTGTACAGCAGCAATTGCAACTTAGTGCACCATTAAAAATCCCATTACACTTTTTTCAGCAAGGTCTAACTTTTTCAAGGACTTTACAATGTAAATAAAGTGTAAAAAAAGTGGAAATCACGTCAATTCAGTAATTTCTAAAAGAATCCCATTGTCAACGAGGGAACAGACAGCCTAGAGGGAAATGTGGCAAAAGATTGTGATTGATCCACTGGCAGAATCCGGGAAGTATGAAAACTAGCACCTTTGCATTGAGAACAAAGTACCCATACTGATTAGTTATGGAAATTGTGTTTTTACTTTGCTGTATTATTTAATTGTTCATGCCTGTAAGGGTTGCTCAATGGAACACATTTGTGTGATCAGCCAGAAGAGTGTGACATTGCAATCTTGAAATTTTACCACCTCATCTTGAAAATACCATCTTCCATAATTAATAAATTCCACCGATACTAGTATCAATGACTGGGCCTCTTTTTATGCCTAATGTAAACTAGGAATTAATCCAATGATTTAACTGGATTATTCATGCTATATTGAATTGTATCAAAGAAATGCGTGGAGTTTGCACATTCTCCCCATGTCTGCATGGGTTTCCTCCGGGTGCTCCGCTTTCCTCCCACAGTCCGAAGATGTGCAGGCTAGGTGGATTTGCCATGCTAAATCGCCCATTGTGTCCAGGAATGTTTAGGCTAGGTGGGTTAAACATGGGGAAATGCAGGGGAGGGAAATGAGTCAGGGTGGGATGCTCTTCGGAGGGGCGGTGTGGACTTGTTGAGCCGAATGGCCTGTTTCCACACTGTAGGGATTCTGTGATTCTACGAAAGAAGCATTGGCTACGCATAGAACTTTATTCAATGTAAAGTTTTGCATTAACTGGTGTTTATTTTATCTAAGGTATCTTTTATTAGAGAAAGCACCCAAAGAACTTGCTGAGCGCACTCACATTTTTAGTAGCTTCTTTTATCGACGTCTAACCCGAAAGGATAATGCTGGATCAGAGGAAGCAACTAACCTTTCGTAAGTAAATTTGCTACAAGTCAAGTGGCTTATTTTTCTGGTCCTTACTAAATAGTTCACTTTTCTGTGGCTGGGTTTCTCATGATGTAGTACCAATTTAATACTGTTATTTCTAGGTGCATAGGTTTTGCCCAGCAATCGAAATGATCTTGCTGCATTTATTGAGGTTAGCAGCCAGGAAACCCCACCTTTTTTTCGCTGTCCAAAGGCTGTCGAGTCAGTACGGTTTTGAGATATTTATTTTCGAGGAAGGAAACACCATTATGGTGTTGCTGGATCAGTGATCTAAATATTGGCCAGATGCTTCAAAGACACTAGTTCATATCTCAGCAAAGCGGCTAGGGTAATGTAAAGTAAATAAGTAAGTTTGGGATTTAGAAGCCTCCGAGAAGGAAATCTGCCAGCCTGACTTGGCCTGGATGAGACCTGATTTCAGGATTAAAGCAATGTGATTGATGATTCTTGACTGCCTCTGGAATCAGTCTAGCAAGCTGTACAATTGAGTCAAACTGTAGAAAAGTTGAAGGAGAATAAACTTTGGATGAACAAGCTTACATTGACAGAGGCATTGGATATGATAACAAAGGCACGTCCTGTGCAGTCAACCCTACAAAATCATTATCACAAACATCTGGGGAGTTGTGTCAAAATTGAGTGCCATTCTACAAACTAGTCGAGCAATAGCACAGTCAGACTCATCAAAGCATACTATATAGCTAATGTTCCAGTCTCCTCTACTACCATCAAGCCAATGGTTCTCAATACTACAAAAAGGTGAGAGGAGTAAAGAGAGTGGAAGAGTGAAATCAAAAAGGGTGAAGTCACTTTGTCAAACGGGCCCTTCGTGTCAAGGCCAGTCACTGTCACCTCGCCTTCGGAATTCAGTTTTTCTGTCCATGTTGAATTAATATTGTAATGAGGTCTGGATCTGAGTGGCTCTGGCAGAACCCAAACTGAGTGTCAGTGAGCAGGTTATTTCTAAGCCAGTGCTGCCGGGAAAATTGATTGTAATGTAATACCTTTTGAGAGACCTAGATTGAATAGTTGGAAATTGGGCTTATTTACCTGAGCAGTTGGTTCAGTGACCAGGGAGCATTGACTTTAAATTGACTGCTAGTTAGATTATTGCTGTTTCTTGTAACATTATAAGCCTTTTTTAATCTAATGCCATTATTAAACTACTTTCTAGTAAGGAATTGAAGGATCTTTCTTGTTGAACTTATTGTTTTCTAATGGAATGGATTTTTGTTCAGCATTTTGAATTGTTTCTTTAAATATTCCTGACTTCTAATTTACCACAATGCCCTTTACTCTATTCAGTCAACTTTTATCCAGCGCTCTCTCCTCTGAACCCTTGTATTAACTGTTGGCAAAATGCTTTGTTTAAGATTCAAAATATTTTCGTTTTTTAATTATCTAGCGATTCTGTTGGTTATAGTTGTATGTTAATTTTGAGAAAAAGTTATTTCTCAAAATTGTGGTTTTGTCACTTAGGGTAATGCCAATAGACTGATTGTTCGTTTTTAGCATGCCTGCCATGAGAATTATTTTGGACATCCAGCATTGCTTTCTCTTTAAAGTAGTTAACTGGGTATACTTTAAAGATTAAATTGTTATTCTATTGTTTTCTTTTGAGTGCAGTGTTTATTTGGTTGCTGATTTGCACTCATTTACCAACTCAGATTAAAAGCACATACTATATTGCCCTTGTAGAATACAGCACAAGAGACACCAGCGCGTGAGAACATGGACGCGACATGTGGATATCTTTACAAAGGATTTTATATTTGTGCCTGTTAATGAAGAGTAAGTGTTCTTTGCGTAATCTGTTGCAGATGACTCTACTGGGATAAATTAAAGCCATTTATTTGAGTAGAACCTGAAACCTGGCTAAACTGAAGCTGATTCTGCTAATTGACTGATTCTAACTTGTATGGTTCTTGTATGAGCTGTTTAAAGTAAGGCAATTGAAACTATTCGTGGTAGGAATGATTCATTAAGATTCGTCATATGTTCATGCATCCGTTTCATGTGGTAGGCCTGGAGGCTACCTAATACTCAGAAGCAACAGTAAACATTTGCTGTGCTTAAGAGGTACCTGCAGCATATTATCTTCACTTGAGCCTAAGACTAAAATTGGCACTTTGACCAGATCCAAAGTAAAGACTGTGGGGAGTTCTATAAAGTAAACTATTGTTAACTTTGGACGGGGAAATATCAGTAAGGTCATACATGTTAACGTGTTAAATGGCATATTTGCTTGCAGGTCACATTGGTATCTTGCTGTTATTTGTTTTCCTGCGTTAGACAAAATAGTTTATGAAACTGATGTTACTACTGAAACAAAGGCAAACAAATTACTTCCAAATCCATCTTGCACAAACTTATCTAGTGATGAAAAAACAAGTAAAGAACAAGGGTCATCATCTGATGAATCTGATGGAAATACCACTCAGAGTTCACTGTCACAGGATTCAACAAGTAAGTGCTTGCTTTTAAATTGGATATATATTCCTGTGTATTAAACATCTATTATTTCATGATTTATCAAAAACAGTACTTTGTATAGCAATCTTGCTGTGAGAAAAGTGTAGGTTTAAAGGATGATCTCAAAGGATAAATTCAGTAGCTTTCTTTTGAGATCTTGTAATGTTTGACTTTTAGCAATGAAATAAGAAGTTACTTGAAATCCAAATGCAGTAAATTAATTTTACCAAAGCCTCAGAACTTCTCACTGTTTAGATTTGATTTTTTTCAATAACAAATGTAATATTGTAACATATTTTAAAACCCTTCAAGCTTTCTTTCTGGTGTTTCAGTATAGCATTTTAAGGATGTCAAAAAATGTAGTTAGACGTGTTTGCTACCTCAGTTACAAATGAAAGCTCAAACTACCACCGTCTCAAGCCAGCAGGGAGTTTTGATGTCCCAAGAATCAGTAATACAAAGGAAACTTTTTTTATTCATTGTGATTTTCTGATCTGCAGATGATATCTAGTAGTTTTGAACAGATTTGCAATTATTTACTGCAATGCAATGATCCTTAATGAACGTATCAATGCACAGTAATTTGGATTGATATGAATTAGCAAATCAAATGCAGCATTGTGATGGTAAGACCACATTTTGTTCTCTTGCAGATACAAACTCTAGCAATGTTTCTTGTATAACTTCGGTGTCCAGCTCTAGGATGCAGGTAAATGACACAATAACTAGCTTACCTTCTTAACAGGGAATCCGCCATGCTCAGCTAGTCTGATCTACATGTGACTTCAGAGCCACAGCAATATTGTTGACTCTCAACCGCCCTATGAAATGGTTTAGCAAGCCATTGTCTCAACAAAGAATGAAACTGTACAGGCCACAAGGCATCAACACATGCATCAAAAAAGTCAACAGTACAAACAGTTCTATTGACCCTCAAGTCCTCCTTGCTAACATTTGGGGGCTACTGCCAAAATTGGAAGAGACTAGTCCAGCAACAGCTTGACGTAGTCATAATCAAGGAATCATGCCTTAATGGCAATGAAACAGATATACCATCACTATCCCTGGATATATCTTGTCCCAATGGCAGGACAGACCCAGCAGAGGTGGCGGCACCTTGGTACACAGTCGGGAGGGAGTTGCCCTGGGAGTTATCAATATTGACCCCGGACCTCATGAAGTCTCATGGCTTCAGGTTACACATGGGCAAGGAAACCTCCTGCTGATTATCATGTACCATCCGTGGAGGAAGCACTGAGGGTGGCAAAGGGGCAAAATCCACTCTGGATGTGGGAAGTCATACCTGGCACATAGGAAGATGGTTGTGTTGTGATCGGTCAGTCACTCATTCCCCAGAGACTTGTACAGGAGTTCCTCAGTGTAGTATCCTAGGCCCAACTATCTTCAGATGCTTCATCAATGACCTTCCCTCCATCATAAGGTCAGAAGAGGGGATGTTTGCTGATGATCGTGCTATGTTCAGTACTATTCGCGACTCCTCAGGTAGTGAAGCAGTCCATGTTCAAATGCAACAAGAGAAAAGTGGTATGGAAAAGCCAGGTAACTATAGACTGGTGAGCCTGACATCAAAGGTTAATAAGTTGTTAGAGGGGATTCTGAGGGACAGGATTTCCATGTGTTTGGAAAGGCAAGCACTGATCAGGGATAGTCAGTGGCTTCGTGTGTGGGAAATCGTGTCTCACTAACTTGATTAAGTTGTTTGAAAAGGTGATGAAGAAGATTGCTGAAAGCAGAGAGGTAGACAGTGTATGTGGACTTCTGCAAGATGTTTGACAAGGTTCTACATGGTAGACTGGTGGGGAAGGTTAGATCACGTGGAATCCAGGGGGGGCTAGCCAATTGGAGGGTGGTGGTAGAAGATTGTTGTTCAGACTGGAGGCCTGTGATCATTGATGTGCCGCACGGATTGGTGCTGGGTCCACTGCTTTTCATCATTTATATAAGTGATTTGTGGATATAGGAGGTATAGTTAGTAAGTCTGCAGAGGGCACCAAAATTGGTGTAGTCAGTGCGCAGTGAGGAAGATTATCTCAGTACGAGGGGATCTTGATCAGATCAGTCAATGAGCCGAGGAGTGGTAGATAGAGTTTAATTTAGATAAATGTGAGGTGTTGCATTTTTTTTGTAAGATGAACCAGGACTGGAGTTATACAGTTAATTATAGGGCCCTGGGGAGTGTTGCCAAACGAAGATACCTAGGGTTGCAGGTGCATAGTTCTAGAAAGCGGAGTCGCATGTAGACAGGATGGTGGAAAAGGTGTTTAGCATGCCTGCCTTTATTGGTTAGTGCATGGAGTATCGGAGTTAGGACGTGTTGCAGTTGTACAGTATATAGGTGAGGCCACTTTTTAGAATGCTACATTCAATTCTAGTCTCCCTGCTTTAGAAAAGATGTTGTTAAACTTGAGGGGGTGCAGAAAAGATTTACAAGGATGTTGCCAGGATTGGAGGGTTTGGGCTATAGGGAGAGGCTGAATAGGCTGGGGCTATTTTCCCTGGAGCATCAGAGGCTAAGGGGTGACCTTATTAGAGGTTTATAAAATCATTTAGGGGCATGGATAAGGTGAATAGCCAAGATCTTTTTTCTAGGGTGGTGGAATTCAAAACTAGAAGGTATACAGGTTTATGGTGAGAGGGGAAAGATTTAAAAGGGACCTGGGGGCAACTTTTTTGTGCAGAGGGTGCTGTGTGTATGGAATGAGCTGCAGGTGGAGGTGGGTAAAATTGCAATGCTTAAAAGGCATCTGGATGGGTACATGAATAGGAAGAGTTTAGAGGGATATGGGCCAAATGGGACTAGGTCACTTCAGGATATCTGATCGGTGCGGACAAGTTGGACCAAAGGGTCTCTTTACATGTTGTATAAATCTGAGTCTATTTGCACAACATCCAGGCTTGGGTTGGCAAGTAAAAAGTAATATTCACATCTCACAAATACCAGGCAATGACCATTTCCATTAAGAGACAATCTAACCACCACCTCTTGTCAGTCAATGGTATTACCATGCTGAATCTCCCATTATCAACATCCTTGGGGTTAACATTGACCAGACCTCCACTGGACTCGCCACATAAACACATTATCTACAAGAGCAGGTCAGAGGCTACAATACCGCAACAGAAATAGAAATTGCTGTGCTCAGCAAGCCTTTCAGCATCTGTGGAGAGAAATCAGAGTTAATGTTTTGGGTTGAGTGACCCTTCCTCAGCTAGGAATACTATGGTGAGTAACTCACGTTCTGAATCCTCAAAACCTGTCCACCATCTTTAAGGCACAAGTCAGGAGTGTGATGGAATACTCCCACTTCCCCGGATGGGTGCAGCTCCAACAAAACTCAAGCTTGACACTACCAAAGGAGAGCTGCAAATCTGCTCCCAGTCCCAGGGTACTGAACAAAGCTTCAGAACTTCAACTCATTCACCTTTCAAGGCTGAAGATGTTAGAGGCATACGAGGCATAAAAATGATTTAAGGAGTTGTTAAGCCAGAACACATTTTACCCAATATAGTGACTGGGATAATATGATACAAGCACAGATTAAAGACAAACTCAGAACTTTTGCTTGGAAGCATTTATTGACGTTTGATCTTTAGAATTGGTGCCATTTAAATTTTGGGATTATTACACAAAAGGCAGATTAGGAGACTACAGGTTTCTATGAGGTGAATGATTCCGGTTTTATCTAAGCAGTAAGCTCTAGCGTTGTTTACAATAATAATTTTCAAGGAGAATGATGAAAACAAAGCTTGGCTTTAACTTAAAAACCATCACAATGTAAATACAAACTTTTGCATTGCTTTTTCTGTCGAGCCCTATCCCTCTCCTAATTAATTGTTTTCTGGTTGAGATTAGTTAATTTTGCATAAACTCAGATTGAAATTTCATGACTGACTTTACATTTGTATTTACCAGCTGACAATCAGAGTTGGAATGCAGTTTTATTTACGATTATATGTAATTTCTTACAGGGATGTATAAAGGCACCCATCAACCTACATCAACAAAAATTAAGGATACTCAAACAGTAAGTAACATTGAAATTAGTACTCTACTAATTTAAGTAATTTCTAAATTGATTTGATTCCAAACATTGTTACAAGGTTGATTACTTCATTTTGGAAATAATTAGGAATGGCTTCCCTCATGTGTCCGTGTATGACTCCAGAAGTGAAGATTATTCAGGCAACATCTTTTGTGTATTCCACCCTTCTTTCTCTCTCAGAAAAAGGCAAATACATCCTGGCTGTCTGTCTTCTCCTTTCCTCCCACTTTGTTTTCTTAGCATGTGGTTTGTATGATTTAATTTCAGAAACCAGAGTCAAACAGTGATACTTGGTATATTGGTCTGATTACATGGTGGTGATCAAACTTTCATAGCTGCTAAGGGCTTGTGTTTCACCAAATTTGTAGTGGGGCACATAACAAAAGGTAGTTGAATGAAGGTGTAAAGGGTGAAGAATGAAAGTGTTGTTGTTGAAATGTAATTGAGAATAGCAGACTCATCATCAACAGTTGCCATCCGAAAAAATAGGGACAGGGGCTATCTTCACATACTGATGAATTTGGTGGTGAGTCTGGAAGGTTGTAGAGCAGATAATCAAATGAATGTTTAAAGAAAATAAGAGCTGCCCTTCAGGGTTGCTGTGCTAGTCAATCTGATAGAATTGAAGTAAACCATCAGCCACAAACAACCTTTCAGACTGTTTCCATATCCAGCGTTCCCTCTAATTTTTCTTCCCAGCTGTGCAGGTTTCCTAGACCAGTGCATGGCAGTGACTTTCAGAACCAGAAGTCAATGCCGCGATCAGCATGCCAACATTGATTGCCGTGTGCAGAACGTTGGAGCGGCTGTGTGAGCATACAGCTGTGCTGTTTAGAGGGAACAATGCTGATATTCCTTAATACGCAAAAATATCTCTCGACCTGGGTTTTGATATATCTGTTAACTAAGCATCCACAGCTTGCTAGTGTAAAGAATTCCACAACTGTTTGGATGAAGGACTTCTTCCTCCTGTCAGACTTAAATGGCCTACCTTGTCAATCATGACACCTTGTTCTGGTTTTCCCAGACAAAATGTACAGCATTTAGCCTTCCAAGACCCTTAATGAATCTCAAAAGTTTCAATTAGTTTTAAGGGTCATTCTTCTGAACCCTGAGGGAATATGGGCCTGATCTACTCAACTTCTCCTCCGTGGACAATTCCCTCATCCCAGTCTGTTTGCACTCTTTCTAAGGCAAAAATATATTTCTCTTGGTAAGATGACCCTCAAGTGTGGTCTAACTCTATTCATAAGAATCATACAGTTCCAGAGAGGCCCTTTTGGGGCCTACACTAGTTCCATTTTCCCATACTAGGCCCATAGCCTTGAATGTTATGACACATGAACTGGTCATCCATGTACTTTTAAAAGTTGATATTTCCTGCCTCAACTACTTTCCCAGGCAGCACATTCCAGACCCCAGAGAATCTCTGTGAAGAAAGATTTTCCTCAAGTCCCCCTTAACCTCCTGCCTTTCACATTAAAACTATACGCCCTTGTTATTGACCCTTTGAATAAGAGGCACATTTACTTTGCATCCACCCTATCCATGCCCTTCATAATCTTACGCACCTCTACCACGCACCCCCCCCCCCCCATCCCCCAGAAACCTTCTCTGCTCCAAAGAAAACAACTTGAGTTTACCCACCCTCTCTAACTGAAACGCTGTGTCCTAGGCAATGTTCTAGGATGTTGCATCCCTTCAGTTCCATCACATCTTTCCTATAGTGTGGATACCAGAATTGAAAATGTATTACTGTAGTAAAACGTTTTTGCTCTTACAGTATAAAAATATTTTTAGCTGCAATGGACACTCAAAGCTTTAGATTGAAGGCATCAGGTGGTATGGGGCAAAAAAAGGAATATGACATTAAGATAGAATATCTATCCATGGTGATATTGAATGGTAGAACAGGGTCAAAGGGCTGAATATCCTATAACTGTCCCTAGATTCCATGCTAGCTCCTTACAGAAATGTAGGTAGCAGAAAATCTTAACACTTTGTGGGAATGGAGATGTGGAGGGATTGAATTTTTATTGTGAAAAACAGTTGCAGCTAGAATATCAGAAACGCTCAACAGGTGGCAAGAGCATTGGAAGAGTCAGCAGTACTCAAGAAGCTTGACACCATCCAGGACAATGCAGCCCATTTGATTGGCACTACGTCCACAGACATTCACTCCCCCCACCACCGACGCTCAGTAGCAGCAGTGTGTACTGTCTACAAGATGCACTGCAGAAATTCACCAAAGATCCTCAGACAGCACTTTGCAAACCCACGACCATTTCCTAGAAAGTCAAGGGCAGTACATACATGGGAAGACCACCACCCTCCAGTTTTCCTCCAAACCACTCTCAATCCTGACTTGGAAATATATTGGCATTCCTGCACTGTGCTGGGTCAAAATCCTGGAATTTCCTCCCTAATGGCATTGTGAGTCAACCCACAGCAGATGGACTGCAGTGGTTCAAGAAGACTGCTCCATCTTCACAAGGGCAACTAGTGTGGATTCTAGGGACCGTTGTAGGATATCTGGCCCTTCAACCCTGCTCTGCCATTAAGTATGACCATGGCTGAAGCTCTATCTTTAGACAGCCAGTGATGCCCACATCTCACAAATAAATTTTAAAAAAGTCATGAATACAGATGAGAAGAGACTGAATGAATAAGGGAGAAAAGGAAAATAAAATGAGTCAGGATGGGAAGAAGCTCATTCTGTAGGGCAAAAACAGAGATGTGCAGTGCTTCTAGTAGGGGAATCCTGTTTGTGGATCTTGTGAAGCAAAATAGAGGGAGGGCTACGTACAGCTGAAAGATGTAAGTTGGAGATCATGCAGCAATACTAACTAGAAGAAATTAAGCAACTCATAAGAACCCAGAAAGCAATAGGTCGGTGTTCAGTGGTGAAGAAGAGGTGTCTGTGAGTTGAGTTCATCCTCTGCCAGGTAGGGAAGAGTAAAGGGAGTAGCTGGTTAGGAACTGACATCCATAGCAGTGCCTGATGACAGTCACTTTGTTCTTCCTGGTATTTTAATGGAGGAAATTGCTGCTCATCTGGTATTAAATATTGGACAAGTTGTGTGACATTTGGAGACAATCAAGGTATTAAGAGATGGTGGTACATACAGACTTTGATGCCTTTGGTGTGCATGTGGAACCTTGTATTTCCGGACGATTTTGATGAGGAGCAGCATGCATTTGAGAAACAGGAAGATGCCATGGGATAGATTTTGGGGTGGAAAAGACCACAGGCAATGGTGTGGGAGCAGGTTGAGAAGACATTGCAATTGATTCTCTGGCTACAATTAAATCAGAATGGATACTGGAGGCGGAGAATGATGTGGTCAGTCATGTCCACGGATCTATCGGGTCGAAAAAGCTAAATGTTGATAACTGCTTTTGCAGCCACTTAGGATGTGATTTGTGACTTTGATCAAATCTGTTTCAACACTGTAACAAAGTAGACTGCTTGGTTTACTTAACAATTTGCTAAACTTGAGGTCAGTAACACTTCCTTGTTCCCTAATCTCCACTTAGAGACGTACTATTGCATATGTTTCCCTCCAATTTATGCATGATCCTAACATTGTTTTATGTATTGAAGCCACTACTTATTTGCAATTTGTTGGCGATACATCACTATCCTTTCATTGTGCTGGTTTAAAATGCTGGAGTTTGTAATAAAATTAATGTAGGAGTGATATCATTGTCAGGAATGGAAAGCTTCAAATAAACAATTACTTTCTCAGAACAGCTGAGAATGGGCAACACGTGAATATTATTTTGAAATAAAGAAGCAACTACCGTTCCTGGGCAGGATACATTGCCGGAGCTATTGCCAAAAAAGCAAAACATAGCTGTTTAGGGATTGGAGGGAGAAGAATCTGTGCTCTCTAAATGTACTACTTAATGGTTTGCAAGTCATCCAACAGGGTGACTTGATAAGGTACCAGGGAAAATAAGTATTTGCATGAACATTGTTATGAAATCCAGTTTGTGTTGTAGAATATATTCCTGAAACTAGAAGCTATAACTTTTGGGTTGGAGTTGAATGAGTTTTACAAAAGAATTGGTGAAAAGACGCACTTGAATCAGAGTTATAACTCCAAAATGTTCTGGGTTTATTACACTTGAACTTGTTTATCTTGCGAAGACAGAATGATTAGTGAATACACTTGAATGATGAGTGATCCGTCTCTAAGCTTGTAATGGAATCAGGAAGTCTAGTGAAAGGGTTGTAAAACTCTAAGTAGGTGACAAAATCAGAGTTTAGTTGAAGGTAGACTAATCTCGTTACATAAACAAAATACTGTGGATGCTGAAAATTTGAAATAAGGATAAGAAATGCAGTATTTTCCAGAATATTTTGTAGATTCTTTGCTTATGTTCCTGAGTCAATCCCAAAGCATGCCTCAGTGTCTGAGGCAGGATGTTGGAGTTCTTTTAACTAATTTATCTGTGTGTTTGCTGAGAGAAGCAAGCTGTTCTGAATGAAGTGGTTGCAGATTCTTGGTCTTTTCTATGCTACAGCTTAATGCTTGGAGAGCTAAAGGAAATTAGTTAGGTCTGCATTTAAGCAGAGAAAATACTAACTTTAGTTTTCACAGTTCAGATCGTGCGTAGGGTCTTGAGCTCCATTTGCATTTCATAGAAACGTAGAACTTCGGAGCAGGCATATGCCTTTTGACCCTTGAAGCTCTCCACCATTCAATAAGTTCATTGCTGACCTGGTTATGGTCTCATCTTTATTTTCCTGTCTGCAGCATATAAGCTTTTGACTCCCTTGTCTAGCAAAAATCTGTCAAACTCAGCCTTAAATAGATGTAAAGATCCAGCCTCCATTGCCTTCTGGGAAAAGAGTTTCTCATTTTAATGACATTCTGAGGAGGGGTGGAGAGAAACAAATCTACTCACTCCAGTTTTATAAAGGAGACCTCACTCTTTATGTGCCCTACTTTTGGACTCTTTACCCCCTCCCCCACCCCCAAACAAGAGAAGCCACCTCCAGTATCTACCCTATCCAGGTACCTTCAAAATCTTGTACGTTTTAATAAAGATAACTGCTCATTCTTCCAACAGTAATTTTCAAAGAGAATAACCTTAATCTTTACAACCTTTCTTCATGAGAAAAGCCCTTCATTCCAAAAATGAGTTGAGTGAACTGTCTCTATAATCTTTCTCTAAGTAGATTAAACCTGTAGAATACTCCACATCTGGGTTCTGCAGCACACTATATAGCTGCAGTAAACCTTCCCTACTTTTATATTCCACTCCCTTTGTAATAAACAACGGTATTCAATTTGCCTTCCTTATATCTTGCCATATCTGCACACTCACTTTGAGATTCATTTATCAGGATATCCAAGTCCAGTTGGAGTATAGACTTCTGCAGTCTTTCTCCATTTAAATAGTGTACTGTTTTTCCTGCCAAGAATGGATAAGTTTATATTTCTTCACATTTTGACCACATTATATTCCGTCTGCCAATCTTTTTTAATGATGTAAAAGCATTTGGCAGATCCGTTCTGGTTTGTAGCTTGTGGAAGAAATCTCCAGTGGTCCTCAGATTTGTGGCAGCAAACGACTAGCAGACTTGGCTACTGTGAGAAACTGAGAAAGCAATTGGGTATCTCCTAGCAACCCGAACAAGGAGAAGAGGCATCAACCTTTGTGAGAATCAGGGTGGAAGGTCAGTTAGCCAAAAAATATTAATGGAATCCTACCTCAGAGAAATATGGAACACTGAGGAAAAGTGAATTCCGGAAAGCTGTGGCATATCTATTGGGTTAGTTTTAAGTCCCTTTTAAGTGAATGGGCCTTCAAGAATTCTGGGAGGGTAATAGCAAGTAGAACTGAGTTCATAGAACATGTAATTGTTTACTGTAAGGTTTTTATTAAACATTCTTTTGATACACTAGATAATTTTGTTTCTGTTTAGAAATGTGAAATTTCAAAGCATTGCTCTACCATTTAATTGCTGGGTGTTTGGATTTCTTTCTTAAATGTTGACGGTCCATGACAGGATCGCAACAACATATTTGAAACAAAACTGCTGGGAAGCAAATTAACATTTTACCAGTTATTTTGGTTTGTGTTGGTAACACATGGTAGATGTGTTATCTGTGTGTATGCTACATACTAAGCCAGTTTTTAACGTTTTGGTAAACTGCATGAGAGTCTAAAAAGGAATTTACAGTTTTGCAGTGAACGGCAAAGCAAACAAATACATCTTGGGCTAATAGAGTTTGGAAATGTAAGGAAACCTCACTGTAATTGTATTTTTAATTAGGGATTTTTAATCTGCCACAGAATGAGGTTGAGGCCAAAACCTGGTGTTTTCAAGAAGGAGGTAGATTTAGCTCTTGTGGCTAAAAGAATCAAGGGATTTGGGAGGAGGGTAGGATTAGGTGATTTAAGCTCAATGCTCAGCCATGATCATGTTGAATGGCTTATTCTTGCTCATACCTTCCATGTTTCTGTGAAAGAAATTAGTTATAAGACTAAAGCATGAATCCTCTCAGATGTGAGTTGTCAGGCAGTGATTTTAGTTTTGTTGATGGTAGTGGTAGTGAGACTCAGGCCATTCATATCCACCATATTGGTAATTTTAGCCATTCAAAATTAAGCAATCAAACTAAAGTATGAAGTGATAACTGAAATTACTTATTTTTTCTTTTCAGGCCCTGCATTCTTATTATGGATTCACTAAGAGCAGCTTCACAATTACACACAGTGAAGATTTTACGAGAGTGAGTATTAATCAAGTACATTCTTAGTCACTTGGGAGTGCGGATCTTGAGCATTACTGAGAAAAGACACGTTTCATCCAAGATTTTTATGTTGCACTTGTCAGGACAATTCACAGGAATATCAGTATAAAGTGGAACAATATTTTTATATTGAATGTACAAAGCATACTGCTGTTGTAAACACGTAAAAGTGTTCTATCTGTTAGGAGTCATAGAAGTAAGAATTTATTTGAATTAATGGGAATCCTCAAATTATTTATTTTCCTTTACAACTTGTTTGATAAAATGCTTAGGGCATTTAAAAGGCTCATTTAGTTGAAAAAGCTAATTTGCCATTCATTTAGATCTAGAACACAAAGTATAAAACGTGAATAAAATTAAGAAACTGAACTGGACTAGCCATATAAATAGTAAGGCTAAAAGAGCATGTCAGAGGATCAGAATCCTGCAGGAGTAACTAACCTCCTAACTCACCAATGCCTATCCACTGTCTACAGTGCATAAGTCAGAAATGTGATGAAGTATTTCCCACTTGTTTGGATGACTTTAGCTCCAACAACACTCCAGAAGTTTGATATTATCCAGGACAAAGCAACCTGCTTGATTTGGCACCACATCCATAAACATTTACCCCACTCCTCCACCACCAAAGTAAAATAGCAGCAGTGCATGTCATCTGCAAGATGCATTGCAAATATTCACTAAGCCACCTTATTCGGCACCTTCCAAAAACAGAGCGACTACCATCTAGAAGGATGAGGATGGCAAATATGTGGGAAGACCATCTCCTGCAAGTTCCCTAACAAGGCACTCGCCACCCTGACTTACAGATATGTTGCCCTTACTTCAGTGTGATTGGGTCAGAATCCTAGAATTCCCTCACTGACAGTACTGTAGGAGTATCTACAGTAAATGGGCTGCAATAGTTCCAAGAGGCAACTCTCCACTGCCAAACAAAAGGCAGCTATGAATGGGGAATAAATACTGGTCTGACCAGTTACCCTCTCCTCCCATGATTCAATAAAAAATATTGAACCAAGAAGTTGGGTGTTCTTTATCTGTTGTACAAGCTGTTGATGCTTACCAGTGTATGCAGGTATTGGCATTCCTTGACCTTTGATGGCATAAGTATGAACATCCTCCACTTCCATATCTTTGCTGATACCCATCTTTACAGTTCTTCCACATTCTTGACTTCACACCGTCACACTGCTGTCTGACGATTTGTCTCCTGTTTCTATTCATAAGCCAAACATTCCAGCTTAACTTTGACAAGCCCACTGTTATTTTTTTATTGGTTTCCTCCAAATCCTTATGCATGTTCCCCTGCTCTATTTTCCTGGCTGGCTGTCCTTTTTTGAGGCTGAATTTAATCGTGAGTACCTTTTTTTAATATCTTGTATTTACCTTCTCCTGAGCTTCAAACCCCACCCTCTCTCTATGCGCATCAATACTGGTAACTCTCACTGTGTGATCATGTGCTGGTTGCATAGGTAACTGTGTCACTCTAACCTCAAACCTACATTCATGCTCCAGTCATTTCATTTCTAATCTGATTTCAGGACTCCTCTCATGCACCATCTTGCATTAACTCAAATTCATTCAAAGTGTCATCACTTAAGGACCACTGGAATTATCATCATCTGTCACTGACCTCTTGAGTATTAGTTGTTAATGCATTGGTTCTCGATTCCTTTCTACAAACTTTACCTTTGTTTTGCCCACTCTGAATTTCCATAGCCTCTCACACTTTGTGGTGTTTTGATTCTAATCTACTTGTTTGCTTCCACTTATTTCCTGTTCAGCATCACGTACTTATCTTTCAGCTTTTCACTTTTGTTGGAGTTTTATTTCCCGTATGCCTCCCTCCACCAATTCCTTGACCTATTTCTTCAACTGTTTTTTCAGTAATTACCTGAATTCTTTTCTGCTTTGTTTCTGTCCCACCCACTTATCCCAGTTGTTTTGTAGTGTATCTTGTGATGTTTTGCTTACATGTTTTTTGATACTATATATATTTTTATATGTTTTGCATATTGCTGGACAATTATAAATTGGTAATAGCGTTGGTTCACTTTGGGTCAGCTACGTACTATTTTAAAATTGTTACTACAGTTCTGCTGTTTTTCAAACATGGTAAATGAAAACTGTTTTGACACACTTCCCATTTTCTTTAATAGATATCTGCAGATTGAGTGGGAAGTGAAAAAAAGAGGACAGCGCAGTTTCACAGCAGAAAACATGAAGGGCTCAGTTCCGAGAGTGCCAAAGCAAGATAACAGCAGTGACTGTGGCATTTACTTATTGCAGTATGTGGAAAGTTTCTTTCAGGTAACGTTTTTTTTCATCAACTGCATGTTGTTTAAGCATTGGAAATAAATTTATGTTGAAGTTTTCAAATTAAGTTTCTGAGGTGCTCAATAAAGAATTACTGATTGAACTGAATATGGAAAAGAAAAGAGTTGTGTTTGAAAAATTTGTGAAATTACAATGTTCAAAACAGGGACATTCCTTTGCATTCCTTTAATGGAACATAACCTCTCCACTAAAGAAATTAAGCAAGTGCTAATTGATAGCAGAGGGCATAAATTTAGAAGACCATTTGTTAACGTTCTTAAAACTATATAGGCAATGAATTTAGTGAGGTGTGTTTGAATATGAACATAATTGTTATGAATATGGCAGCAGAAACCCCTTCAGAAATGGGTGTGTGAAATTGTTCATAATGTTTTGGCAGATTAGCCATACAGTAAATTACTGTACTTGTATGAGCTGTCCACTGTAGTAATTTGTTGCAGGTTGTCGGAGGATGTAGTCCCTTGCAGTTAGTTTTTGGTTGAAATCCTGAAGTTCTATCAGTAATAAATTGATCAGAACTCAGCACGAGAAGTGAATACTATTATCTCTACTTTTTTTTTGAGCATTTCAATGCATTGCATGCAAGCATAGAAAGGCTGTTGTTAAAATGAAAATCTCAAAGAATTTAATGAGATACTGTGGGGTCTTTGGAAACCAGTTTCAATTCCAAAGACACGGCTTATTGTAAAAGGGAGGAATTTAGCGTGAAGGTGCCTTAGAGAGGTTATGGTAAAAGGGAAGAGTAATTATTGTGCAGCTTGGGAATTGGACTGGGTATACTGTTCAAAGTTTCTAGGTATGAATTATGCATTTGCAGCTTGTGAAGGAGTTAGAATGTGAATGTATATGAATCGCGTACCTTTCATGACCATATTTTGCACTGCTGCAAGGATCGGACTGTCACAGTTGACAGTTTCAGGTGAAGGACAGATCAGTTCTGATGATCAAAATGAGGCTATTGTTCCAAAAGGCAACTACCAAAAGGGGGTACTCAAGTCGAATACTTATAGCAGGAAAAGCCACTCAAAATATTACAAATAGTTGAATGTACAGGTTGAAAAGCAACAGATTATGTTCATGGATTAGGAGCATGAAGTATAAAAATGGAAGGCAGTTAAATGCAGTATAAGCTTGGACCATGGCTCTAGGAATGAATATGCTCCTAGTAAGAGATTACAAACAATCAAAATGAATCCTATTATTAATAAAAAGATGAGATCAACAGTGACACAACATAGGAAAAGCAATCTTGAATATTTTCATGGATGTGATGACAACAAATACTTCGGAATGTAGGTCAACTGATATTGAGATTGCTTGTAAAAATCCTAGTAAAAATGCACTTTCTCTAATGGCCCAAGTACACACAATACATGGCACAACATCCACAATTGTGATCAATGTAAACATCGAACCACCTTTGCAGAACAGATCCCTGATGAATTCAGAGCACATCTATAGTGCAACATTGAATCTGGTAGTGACATTTGAAGTTTTTATACTTCGGAAACTACACCAGCACACTGACATGGTTTGTAGAAAGAAGTACAATTTCTTGTGGCCCTCACCGTGGGGACCCCACCTTTTGGTAGAGGTATGTATGCCTTTTGCACCCAAGGCCTTCCCAAACTTCTCTAATTCCCATACATAAATGATGTGGAGCAGAAAGTATGAAAATGGCTTATCTGGCAAAGAAGACTATTTCAGGATTCACAACCCAATTGGCAGCTCCTTGGGGAGACAAAACTCTGGCCTTTGGGGTCTTTCCACGTGACTGATGAGAACATTAGTTATTGGATAGTGATCTACTAGATGCAAATAGATATGTGAGAGATGATCTAAATTAGTGACGTGTATCAAGCTGGTCAACAGAGGAAAGATGATGATGGAAAATGTTTGTCCAAGGTTGCGGAGAGGACAAAGCGGTGCAATGTACCACACTCATTAGGATCTGTTGTAACATTGGGATCACCTCAATTGCAGATGATACTTTACTGATCTTTGGAATGAAATTTTTTTTGGCACTTATTCTGAGCATTATTGAGTTTTTTTGCAGCTTTTAGTATAGCTTTAATGTGTTCAATTTATTAATTGAGTTTCATTTTAAATTCGTATCGAGGAATTAATTTCAGAACACTTTTTATTCTTTCTTTGGCCTGTTTTCTTCTTCGCAAAATTATATTTTTGTTTCCTCTTTCCACAGAAACCCATCACAAATTTTGAATTACCTTTGCAGTTGGATAAATGGTTTCTGCGAGAGGAAGTAAAGAAAAAACGGGAGGAAATACAAGATTTAATTCTGCAGTTACACAGTCAGCAGAGAACACAGTTAGCAGATAGCTAATGAATCTGCACATGAAGGACAAATATTGTACCAGGTCATTTCAAAGCTGCTCATCAAGTACCCACACATCTTGCAAATATGAAGATTTTAAATTCAACTGTAAATTTTGAACTGGCTGACCAATGATGTGTAGCACGTTCAGTTTAAATAGCTCTGTTTATAGTGGTGTACAGTTTAATAAATTATACTGTTTGACTTTTTTGGCTTCTTGCATTTGTTTTTGTTGTCACAGTTAATGGATCAATAATACTTTTTAGTTCCACTGTCCTGGCAATAGTTTAAATACTTGTTCACAAACTGGGGGTACAGGGAGAAGTCAGTGAGGACTCTATTCTGGAAATGAACATTACTTTCAAGTAATGTTAAAACTGCAATGATGCCATTTTAAGGTTCAAGTCTTTAGTTTTAAATCTATGATGACTTTTTCTTTTCGTAACTTGGATCTCTTTCCCTCAAAGAGTGCTTAAAAGAGACCAAGTTAAGTGGTAAACATTTTAACCATGATGCAGACTGAGTAATCACTATCAGAACTCAGCAGGCTTTGCTGGAAGGAACTTTTTGCCATTAAGGTTTTTTTCAAAAAGATGCAGAGAGAATGATTGAAACACATTTATTATTGCTTCTGCAGTTGAGTCCTTTGAGCGGTAGCTTATTGCAAAACGCAAAGTGTCCCAATCTAGTCTTCACAAAATTTAGCTTGCGTTTATGAAAATTGTTGTGCTGCTCTGTCTTTGCAGCATAATGATATTGGAGTAGACCACATCAACCATACATAATCCTACTGGGGTAAATTAAACCTGCCACTTTCAATCCAACTGGAGTAGGTTAAATCTATTCATAGGTGATATAAACATTAAAACTAATATAGAATACATTGCAAATAAAGTCGAGCCATTCAAATTACACATGCTTCTACATCACCACAAAGCTAAGTCATGGAAATATACCATATGACAAAACACAAATTGTTAATTTGTAGAAAGTGCATATAAATGGTAGCTGAATTTTAATGTAGCTAAGTATTGTGTGCATTTTCTTCCAAATATGGAGGCCAGTATTCATTGGAAAATAAATAACGTCTAAATCGGGTAGAGGATCTAGGGTACAGATGCACAAATTGCCAGAAGTAGCAATTCAGATTAACAAAGACAAAAATGTAAACAAAATGCTAGGTTCAATTTTTAAAAAGACATTTTTGATAAAAGCAAAGCTTTGTTGAACTTAAATAAAATCTTGAGTGACCACACTCAACAGTTCTAGTCTCCATATTAGAAAAAAATGAGCCACTGGAATGGATTTTACTTGAATTATACCACAATGAAGAGGTTGGGGCCTCCTTTTCTCTAGCATGGAGAAAGCTGAGGGGTGCTCTGAAAGACATCTTCCATATTATGAAGAAGTTTTAGAGGGTAGACGTGATCGATCATTCCCGGCTAGCATAGGAACTTTGAAGGGAAACCGAATGGCAAGCAGTTTGGTGTAAATAGGATTGAGAGCGGGAGGGTAGGTCTCACAGATTAGATGAACCCAGAATGAATGAAGGTAAGAATCTAGAGCAAGATGAGAATTTATGGTTAGCAGAAGGTCAAATTGAGAGATGCAGCAGAACTAGTTGAATGGGGGGGGTCTTTGGTAAAAATAATGTTTGTGCTCTGTTTGTACTTATTGGAGGTGGAGGGTAAGAGGAATGAATCCTCATGAGATTGATAGTAATGGGGAAAAGAAACATGGAATTATCTTTAAATTCCTGAATTATCCTAGAATGAGAAGTATGTTTGACAGATGATTGAATCTGGCTTTTTAAAAAAGCAGTACTTTTATGGTCTAGTCAGATTTGGAAATCAATGCCTAAACGAGTTATGTGCAATAAATGTCCAATTCTACATTTTTTTAGTACTAAGGGAGCAAGAATGGATTCCACATCTTGAAGGGAAGCTAGGTGGCCAGCAGTTTGGTGTAAATAGGATTGAAATCAGGAAGTGGGTCTTATGCATAAGCTGAGCTCAGAATGCGTGGAGGTAAAAGAGAATGTAGAGAATGATGTGAGTTTATGGTTAGCACAAGGTGAAAGTGAGGGAAGCAGCAAAAAGTAGTTGAATAGATGGTCTTTATTTTGGTAAAGGAAAGTAACTGGGATAAAAGTAATTGTTCAACTGGTAGAGCATTATAAGCAGAGTTGGAGATTGATTGAGCAGATTGATAGCAGCAGAAATATTGCAGGAAATCTTACCCAGGTAATTGGTTCTTGAAATAATTGTAATTTAGGGAGTTGATTTCAAGGACATTGTAGAGCAATTTGGGTTGGAAGGTAGAAGTGAATGGTGACAGTTGCAAGCAAGTAATTGGAGATAGTTGCGATTGGCTACATAGTTAGGCTGTTATTAACTTCTGCAGTCCTTTATTTGACTTGTGTCTATAGATCAATTCCACAAAATTTAGCTTGCGTTTATGAAAATTGTTGTGCTGCTCTGTCTTTGCAGCATAATCATATTGGAGTGGACCACAGCTACCATATATAGAAAGGTCACGAGGTTAACTGTGAATATTGTTAGGAAAGTTTATATGGAAAAAGATTGACAGACCAGTGAACTCAGAAGAAAGTACAATATAAGAAATAGATGCAGGAGTGGGCCATTCAGCCTTACAAGGTGAGTTGTGATGGTATTAGAAGTCACCTGTGTAGAGGCTGATCAAGGAAATTTTCACCAATATCTTGATGCAGCACTTGGCATTATGCTTAGAATGACAGATAAGGAGTGGAGAGAGCCTAAGGTGAAAATTGAAGAAGAGACTACTAATGGTTTGGGTGGAACAAGTGGTGGTAAGGTTAAGAGAATTCAGTAAGAAGTAAGAATTTCATCCATGATCATGAGACAAGTTTCCTTCTAAGCAATGATATCTAATCATTTCCAGCAAACCATTTGTGATTTTTTTTTTAATATCTGCCCTGCCCACCCCTCTGGCACAGTTACTATGGTGTCCTCCAGGATCTATACTTGAACTTCTAAGCAGCTGCATTCTGCCCCTTGGTGACATTATCCAAAAACATACCTGTTTCCACTATGTGAGTTATAGACGCTCAACTTTATCTCCCCGTCCCCTCTGTGCTCTCTTTAAATTGTCGGCCCACTTGTCTGACATCTAGTATCAGATGAATACCAGTTTCCTCCACTTAATTATTACAAAGCTGAAGCATTAACTTTGCTCAAACTCTGTCCCTCAGTTTAGCATTTGTCTGAAGCTGACCCAGATTGTTAACATCATATGGTGTTGTATATGACACCAAGACAAGCTTCCGATCATACGTGTCATTAAAAATGTCCATTTCCACCATCACTGGACTGTATCACTCTGCCACTGCCTTAGCTCATTTGCTGCTGAACCTCTATTTCTGTTTTTGTGGCCTGTACACTTGACTGTTACAATGTACTACAGGCCACTCTGTCATGTTCAACCTTGGGTGGACTTGAGGTCATCCAAAACTCTGCTAAATTACACCAAGCTGTGATCACCTATCACCTTGGCACCCACTGATTTACATTAGCTCCAGCTGAAGCAGTGCCTTGATTTTAAAATTCTCACCCTCCGAGGCCCTATCCCTGCTAATCTCTGTAATCTCCTCCAGCTCCAATACCCCCTCATTTCTGACCTCATGAATATGGACAATTTTAATTCATCTGCCATTGCTGGCTATACCTTCAGCTGCCTGGGCCCTATCTGCAGAATTCTTTCAATAAACCTCTTTGCACTTAGACTTCACTTTCTTTTTAAGATATCCCTTAAAACCTCTTCCTTTGGCCAAGTGGCATTAACATCACCTTGTTTAGTTTAGTGCTATGTCTTGTTTTATAATGTTCGTGTGAAGTGTCTTGGAATATTTTATGTTAAAGATGCTATGAATCCAGAAAATGCTGGAATACCCAATGGTTCCAGTTGTATCTGAAGGGAGAGAAATAGATTTATAATGTTTCAGGTGTCTGATTTTTCACCAATTTTGGCAGAAAAGCACTACCTGATGTTTTCTGGAATCCAGCCTTTAGAAAGGAAAGGTGATAATGTGTGTCATACTGGCTCTCTAGGCCATATTGTATTTAAGTATTTCCTGCCATACTTTTATTTTAAAACATTGGTTGTCATGTTATTTTTTTCTAATTCTTATTTTTTAATGATTCCCTAATTATAAGGGAAGAATATAACTAACGATGGATGGGGATCTGAATAGGAAGGGTTTAGAGGGATATGGGCCAAATGCTGGCAAAAGGGACTAGATTAATTTAGGATATCTGGTTAGCATGGATGAGTTGGACTGAAGGGCCTGTTTCCATACTGTACATCTCTATAACTCTATAAGGATCCTTGAATGGGGTTGTCAGGCCTTATAACTTGTTTCCCATTGATTTCCTTTTCTGAAAATTCGATACCACCTTTTCAGCAACCCAATGTCCATAGAGAATGAAGGACATTGTTCTAAAGAGGCAGAAAGCCCTGGGTATATATGTGCACAAATGATTGAAGGTGTCCGTGCAGGTGAAGAAAGCAGTTACTAAAGCGAAGAGGATCCTAGGCTTTATAAATAGAGGTTAAAAAGAAGGAAGTTATGGTTAAGAGATAGTAGGAACTGCAGATGCTGGAGAATCCGAGACAACAAGGTGCAGGGCTGGATGAACACAGCAGGCCAAGCAGCAGCATAGGAGCAGAGAGGCTGACGTTTCGGGCCTAGACCCTTCATCAGAAAAGGGGGAGGGGAAGGGGGTTTTGAAATAAATAGGGAGAGAGTGGGAGGCGGATAGAAGAGGGATAGAGGAGAGGATAGGCCTCTTTGTAGGTTACGTGGAACAATCCCTCTTCCGTACCTACACCGGCCCTAAACCCCACCTCTTCCTCCGTTACATTGATGACTGTATCGGCGCCGCCTCGTGCTCCCACGAGGAGCTCGAACAGTTCATACACTTCACTAACACCTTCCACCCCAACCTTAAATTTACCTGGACCATCTTTAACACCTCTCTCCCCTTCCTGGACCTCTCTGTCTCCATATCGGGCAACCACCTCGAAACCGATATTCATTTCAAGCCCACCGACTCCCACAGCTACCTAGAATACTCCTCCTCCCACCCACCTTCCTGCAAAAATGCTATCCCCTATTCCCAATTCCTTCGCCTCCGCCGCATCTGCTCCCAGGATGAGGCATTCCACTCCCGTACATCTCAGTTGTCCTCGTTTTTCAAGGACCGTAACTTCCCCTCCTCGGTGGTCGAGAACGCCCTCAACCGTGTCTCCCACATCTCCCGCACCTCATCCCTCACACCCCGTCCACGCAATAAGAACCAAAAAAGAATCCCCCTCGTCCTCACGTACCACCCCACCAACCTCCGGATCCAACGCATCATCCTCCGACACTTCCGCCATCTGCAATCCGACCCCACCACCAAAGACATCTTTCCCTCCCCAC